AAGCCCCCAAGGTGTATGAGACATGTCATTACTTGATCTATCCTGTTATGGATAGATTTTTAGGTAATCTTAGACCTTTGCTAGGAAAAATAAAGAACTATCTCGGGGGACATTTTAGTGGAGTAAAAAAAAAATCTCATTTTTGTCATAGTGACTGTCTTAAAGTAAAAAAATAATTTGTTTGCCAAGTATATTACTGTTCTTCAGAAGAGTCGTCTTATTAGCCACAAAGAAAGAGATGCAGGGACATGCTAAATCTAACACTGGCATTTTCTTCATTTGCTAATTTTTGGGGCAGCTGTAACTAAATGTGTTCAGGTTGTCAGATCTCTTCTCACCGAAGATGATAGTACTGAGGTGAGTGGTATGCAGGTAGTATGAACCCCCAGAAGGAATGAGCACAGCATTGGAAATACAACCCTCAACTCCAGTATACACACAAGTACATTTTTCCCTTTTTAATTAAACTGAGAAAAGCATGGATTTGGAAAGCGATTCTCATTTTATAAACCTAGAAGTTAGAACTGAATTGTGGATATTTTCTTCTAAGATGTTGATTCTTTTCCCTGCTTCTTTCATGACAGAGTAGTCATCTCATATTTATGAAAGTCTGATTTAATGAAATGGCATTTTACAAGCTTTAAATGAAGTGAATGTATGAATTCCTTTTTAGTGGCCTTGCTCTTTTGCTTTCAAAAGTAGGTAAGACCTATTTTGTTTAGCGTTGTTTAGTACTGGGCAGTTAGGTTTTTTAACAGCTTTATTGAGATGGATAAAATGTGTGTATCATATTATTCACCCATTTAAAGTGTATAATTCAGTGATCTTTAGTATATTCACAGAGTTGTGCAGCCATCACCACAGTCACTTTTAGGACATTTTCATCACACCAGAAAGAAACCCTGTGCCTCCCCCAAGTGCCCCAGTCCCAGACAACCACTGATGCACTTTCCATATGGATTTGCCCATTGAGAGTATTTCAATAAATGCAACCCTAATGTGGCCTTCTGTAGCTTCTTTTCATTAAGCATGTTTTCAAGCTTCTGTGTAGCATCTGTGTGTACTTCATTCCTTTTTATGGTTCATTAATACTTCAGGTACCACTTTTTGTTTATCCATTCATCAAGTAATGGACATAGGGGTTTACACTTTTTTGATTGTATTGTGAACAATACTGCTATGAACATTATAAGTTTTTGTGTGAATGTATGTCTTCAAATTCTAAAGATAACATAGGAAAAAGCACAGATTACCTTGGGTATGGCGATGACTTTTTAGGTACAACACCAAAGGCACAGTCCATGAAAGAAATGATAGGCTGGACTTCGTTAAAATGTAAAACTTCTTCCCTGGCTGATGTGGCTCAGTTGTTTGGGTGTCATCCCATGAGTTGAGGGGGTCACCAGTTCACTCCCCAGTCAGGGCACATGCCTGGGTTGCAGGTTAAGTCCCCGGTCGGGGTACATGTGAGAGGCAGTCAGTTGATGTTTCTTTTTCACATTGATGTGTCTATCCCTTTTGTTCTCCCTTCTTTCCCCTCTCTCTGAAGGTGAATAAATCAAATCTTTTTTTAAAATGTAAAACTTTTGTTTTGTGAAAGTGTCAAGAAAATGAGACAATAAGCCACAGACTGGGAGAAAATACAAAAGACACATCTGATAAAGGACTGTTACCTGAAATAGAGAAAACTCTTAAACTAGGCAGTAAGAAAACAAACAACCTGATTAAAAAATGGGCAAAAATCTTGAACACACACTTCACTGAAAAGATATAGCAATAGCAAGTAAGCATATGAAAAGATGTTCAACATCATATGTCATTAGGGAATTGCAAATTAAAACAACAATGAGATACCACTACATACCTAGTAGAATGGCCAAAATCCAAAACACAGATAAAACCAAATGCTGACAAGGACATGGAGCAACAGGCACTCTCATCATTGCTGGTGGGAAGGCAGAATGGTACAGCCAGTTTGAAGGGACAGTTTGGTTGTTTCTTACATAGCTAAACATACTGTTACCATGTAATCCATCAGTTGTGTTCCTTGGCATTTACCCAAGTGGACTGAAAACTTAAGTCTACACAGACCCCTGCACATGGATGTTTATAGAGCTATATTTATAATTGCCAACATTTGGAAGCAACCAAGATTGTCCTTCAGTAGGTGAATGGATGAATAAACTATAGTATATTGACACAGTAGAATATTAACAGCACTAACAAGAAATGAGCTATGAAGCCACTGAAAGACATGGAGGAACCTTATCCCATATTGCTAAATGTCTGATTCCAATTCTGTAACATTTTGGAGAAGGCAAAACTATGGAGATAGTAAAAAGATGGGTGATGAGGGATAAGGAGGAGGAAAGGGCGCATGGGCAGAGCACAGAGGAATTTTAGGACAGTGAGGCTACTCTGTATGGTACTTCATTGTTGGGTGCATGTCATTATACATTTGTCCAAACTCATAGAGTGTACAAAACCTGGAGTGAACCCTAACATCCACTGTGACTTGGGGTGATAATGACATGTCAGCGTAGGTTCCTTGATTGTAACAAATGTATCCTCGTGGTGCGGGTTATCAGTAGTGGGGGCAGGGGTAATTGAATGGGGAGATTGTACTTTACTTTCTGCTCAGTTTTACTGTGAACCTAAAACTGCTCTAAAAAGGTAAAGTTAATTAATTTTCTTCTTTAAAAAAGTGGTTGTAGAGCTATTCAGCTTTTCAGATATTTGAATCACTTTTGTGTTTATGCCATGTAATGCCTTCCAAGAAGCCGTAGCCTGATGCAAAGGTTCAGAATCTGATGGACTCCTGGGGAATCTTGAAAAACCAGTGGTTTCTGTTCTGGGCATTGTGGAATTTCTGGTTTCTAGATCTGGCTCTGTCATGTTTTCTGCTGCCCTGAAGTCTTTTAGGTGTAGTAATTTGGCCAGGTAATACATACATACATACATACATACATACATATTTGGTAAATTCCTCTCTTAAAGAGAATGAGATAGTCTAAATTTTGTTATCTGCTGATGTTAGAAGACAAACATTGAGTAGAGACATACCGTATTTTTCAGGCTGTAAGGTTCACTACCCCCTCCCCCCCAATTTGGAAGGAATAATGGTTGTTAATGCTGCTGTTGAATTCTGTTTACATTTACATTGGTGAAATTTTATGTTATTATTAAATATTTTACCACATTTTTTTGCTTCAAAATTTTTTTTCCTCTAAAACCTGGGTGCGTCTTATGGTCCGGAAAATATGGGTGAGAAAGTAGGGATGTGATTTGCTAATTGGAGAAGGCCATTTTCTTTACTGTTGTATGCTCTTATGGTCTGTGTGAGTATCATGGATAAAGACAGAAGTTTCGAGGCATCTGAAAATTAATGGTTTGGATTTCAAACCTGTTGTTTATCTGGTAAAGTAGTGTTCATTCTTTGAATTTTGTTATTGTCAAGGATAAGCATACTTGCTTATATTTGGGTTTTATGCATACAAGGAGAGGGTTTTTTTAAAAGATTTTATTTATTTATTTTTAGAGAGGGAAGGGAGAGAGATAGAGAGACACACACACACACATCAGTGTGCGGTTGCTGGGGGCCATGGCCTGCAACCCAGGCATGTGCCCTGACTGGGAATCAAACCTGCGATGCTTGGTTCGCAGCCCGCGCTCAATCCACTGAGCTATACCAGCCAGGGCAGGAGAGGGTTTTTTTAAAAAAATTAATTTACTGTTTGAATAAGGAGTATGGTCACATGGTGTAAAAAGTTTGCCTCAAGCAGCCTCCTTCCCCTCTGTCCTTGTTCTTTCCTACCACTCTTACAGACGAGCACTCTGCCAGCGCAATATTCCAGTGCTTCCTGTAAGGCAGATACCAGCAAACACATTATTTTAGGAAGTTGGGTTTTCCCTAGAAAAGGGGTGGTGTGATTTATCATCCATAATTTCAGTTGGCTACCAAAAGAACATTCCAGTACTTCCATGAGGCTAAGGATATAAACGGCAATCCCTTTTTTACTGTGCCAGCCCTTCGCATAGCTGATAAAGAACACTGACATTATTTATGAATTCCTTAACTCGTCCTGAAAGGGAAATGGCTGCAGGGGAGGCCAAAAACAAAATGAGCAACATTTATTGACAATTTGCTATATACTATGCCAAGTTTACAACAACTCCATGAAAAATCGTGTGCACATAGTATTCCTATTTCATAGGTAAGAAAAGTGAGGTTCCAGAGAGGTAAATAAAGAACCCATGTAATCAGCAGATATTAGTATAGTATTCAAAGCTCAGCTTTTAAAAAATGATTAGCATTTTTAAACATAGAGAAAACTAGAAAGAAACTAGTTTAATAAAATCCCATTACCCATCACTGAGATTCATTAGTTAAGATTTTACATTTGGTTGATCTGTTCTTTTTTCTTTGTATTTTTTTCTTTTTAAAATTGAGTTTAAATGTATTTTCTTTGTTTCTTACATATTTTAAAACAAGTCCTAGGTTGCATGTTATTTTGCTTCTATGCAGTGAAGTTTGCATCTCTTAAAAATACAGATGTTTCCTTGTATAGTGACAATGGCATTTATTACACTCCTCCAAATAGCTAGAATGATAAAGAAAAGAAGTTGATCATATGACTAAAGTCATTAATTCATCCTAAAGAAAACTCAAAGCAATTAGTTTTGAAAGGGCAGGGGTGATTTATTCACTGTTTATTTTACACAAATGGGTTGTTATTCACAGGGACAGTAATGCTGACCCACGCTGAATTAGATAAAGGATACAGGCGCGTGGCCACCACAGCTGTCCTGATGCTGAAATGTGCCTCTTGGCCACCTTGCCTAACTACCAATTACGGTATACATAAAAACTTAGGAATTTTAATTAATTTTTTTGAAAGCTAAATGAAGCTGTGAGTTATGAATAAATGGTGCATTGATTATTGATGTATGGAATCTTTTCTGATGGACTCACAGCATTAAACTTACACTTTTTTTAAAAGGTCTTTGACTTGCGTCAGTGTCATCGGCAGATGCAGCAGCAGGCGGCCACTGCACAAGCGGCAGCAGCTGCTCAGGCTGCAGCTGTGGCAGGAAACATCCCTGGCCCCGGATCAGTGGGTGGGATAGCTCCAGCGATCAGTAAGTACGCTTTTGGTTTTGTTGTTGTTTTATCTTGATTCACTCATTTGATTAGCTACGTTAAGTAATAATACAAATTAAAGTTCTCTTTACTGGGATAATAACATTTTTGAATTTGTTAAAAAAAAAACTTCTTTGGTAATATTTGCCCTTTGTCTGTGACCCTGTTTTCATTCTTTTTGTGTCAAAAAGGGAGTATGGGATACAGAAGAAAAGGGGTTATTGTTATATTATTGGTCATCTCCCCTTTTTGGTTGATGCTTTTAATTCCTGCCTCACCAGCCAGGGTGGGTTGTTATCACTGATATGCTTGGCTTTATTTTACAAGGAAAGCATATTTCAGCTTCAGAACTAGGTACCTCCAGGTTCTTTTTAAAGTATGCTAAATATGCAGAGAAAACTAAGTGAGGGTGGTATTTTGATAACTTGTAGACTTTTTTTCAATTTTAGGGTAAAATTGAACTGTGTGCCAGGTTTCACACTGATGGGGAATTTTTTACTGCAGAGTTAAACTCCTGACTATAGACTTTTATGATGGAAACACGTGGCACCCATCTTCCACGTCTGAAGGCATAACTAGTGATTCATTCAACCCCTGTTCTTAACCTCTTCAGTGTGGTAAGCAAATCACACTGGCTAAGAAAACTGCAGTGGCCCTGCAGGTTTCTCTACAGTACATGCAAATTCCTCCCATTAGTTTCATTGTAATATTGATGAATGCAGGTTGACATATGACTGTGTGTTCTTACTGGAAGATTAGATGTAGAGTCTCCATTGTGACTGATGTTCAGGAGTTCACAATTTAAAGGTAGATAAGGCATATTCATTTGAAGAATCCGATTTTTAAAAAAAAAATTCGGGCATCTAAACCATTAATTGCTAGTTTTGATATTATAAACAGGTTTTTACTAAAGAATCCAGAAATACTAAATTTCTTCTCATTGTCACTACTGCCCTTATTGAGTAATTGCATATTATCTATCACACTGTGAAATGAGAGACATTATCGGGTCATCCAAGAAGGTTTATGGACCCAGGACCATTGCTGTCCCATTCTAGTCATGTCTTGCTCTAACTAGGCTGTGCAGACAGGCGGGAGGGCTCTAGAAACCACTCTGTGGGCATAGACGACCTCTTAAAAACGAGTTGTTTCTTATCCCTTCACCTCCACTTCTAATGAGAAAAATCGGAGGGGTGTTGGTAGAGTATAGTAATTTACTTTATAATTGGTGGTAGCTAGACTACCCATGTGGAATGTAAATTGTCTTAATCAAAAATTTTCAGTCCCTGTTGATAAAGTTTAGATCTGTACTTAACTTCTTGGCACTTTGACAGAGAATTATATTCTGAGGAGAGTGAAGTGAAGAAGGCTGTTCACATTATTAATGTAAGATGTAGGGAGAATGGGAAGAGATCAGCCTGTCCCCCTGATGTCTTTCAAATCTTTTCTGTTAGGTTTGTCAGCTGCCGCTGGAATTGGTGTCGATGACCTTCGTCGCTTATGCATACTCCGGATGAGTTTTGTGAAAGGCTGGGGGCCGGATTACCCGAGACAGAGCATCAAAGAGACGCCTTGCTGGATTGAGATTCACTTACACCGGGCCCTGCAGCTCCTAGACGAAGTGCTCCACACCATGCCTATCGCCGACCCACAGCCTCTAGACTGAGGTCTTCTACTCCTGGGGCCTGTAATGTTCGCTGTCAGGATGGTGGACTATAAAGTACAATCCTGTTTATAATCTGAAGATATATTTCACTTTTGTTCTGCTTTATCTTTTCATAAAGGGTTGAAAAAGGATGTTTGCTGCCTTGCTCCTAGCAGACAGAAACTGGATTAAAACAAATTTTTTTTTATCCTATTTAGAACTTTTCAGGCATGGCTCAGAGCTTGAAGATCAGGAAAAATACATTCTTACTATATCTTCACCAGTTATGTATGAAGGAATCATTCCAGTGCTGGAAAATTTAGCCCTTTAAAATGTCTTAGACTCTTTTATATGCAGAACATTGGTATGTGTGTTATTCTACAGAATAAATTCAATATTGCTGATTTTAAAGGCAGAGAAGTTCTCAAAGTTAATTCACCTGTTACTTTGTGTGTGAGTTGTTGTTGTTGAGCATCCCTTACTCCAAAATGCTGTGCCATGTGGGTGAGTTAATTTTACCAAGAGCAACTTTCCTCTGTGTTTAAAAATAAGATAGTAATGTATTATAATCTTTTATCCAAAATATTTTTTGCAAGTTAAACTAGTGAAGATGATTTCCATGCAGATTGTCTTGTGACTTCAGTTTTATTTTCGCCAAGGCAAAACACTAACCTCTGTGTATACTGAGAATTCCTTAAAATTATCAAAGAAATACCATTTAAAACGACACTTGTTGTCCCCGTTGGATAACTATTTATTGAGCAGTATAACTCTGGCCTGTTAAAGAGCAGACCTCTTTCTCTAGATTTCTAGCCACAGGGTTGGTTACTAAGAAGCCCAGAAGAGGAATTTCTTTCCTTCATTAATTCATAGGGAAAGGTTTCGTATTTTTTAAAACACTAAAAGCAGCGTCACTCCACCTAACATCGCACCGTCTGCAGAGGTGGCAGTGCATAACCTGAACGATGAGCATTTTGGAAACTGCTAAATTCCGTGTTAAATACTGTGCAGAGTAACGGACACACTGCAGTTCATAATAGGTAGTTTGGGTATTTTTGTACTTGATTTGATGTGTGACTTTTTTTCCATATACTGTTAAATCATGTATGTTATAATATTGTTTAAAATTCAGTTTTTGTATCTTGGGGCAAGACTGCAAACTTTTTATACCTTTTGGTTATTCTAAGCCCTTTGCCCATCAATGATCATATCGGTTGGCAGTGACTTTGTATAGAGAATTTAAGTAGAAAAGTTGAAAATGTAATGACTGTACCACAGACACAATATGTATGCTTTTTTCGTAGCCGGTAGCATAAATAAAACCGAATCTCAACATACCAAGTTGAATTCTAGGTTTGATTTTTAAGCTTTTTCTTTTGCACTTTTGAGTCCAACCCATGGTGAGACACCTTCTAGTAAATGACAGGCAACAGCCAGGACGGCAGCTGTGGTTTCCCCTCACACTCTACTGGGACTTCCCCGTGTGCGCTGTGTGTCAAGTGTAGAGTTCTTGCCTGTTGAACTTTTATTTCACTATAGTAAACACAGGCCCGATGGTCTATAAGAGAAATAGATTGTCTGCAGGATAAGTAGTGTGAAATAAAATCGAGGATTATCTTTCAGATGCTTCTGCTTTTCGCTTGGAGGGCCTTCATAAGCATAATAAGATTCTAAGGTGTGTTATATGTTGCAGAAGCACTTATACACGATAGTCATCCTTATGTCGACCTGGATGAGCAGGTCCTCACATTCTTGCTCAGAGGGTCTTCGTATAACCACCCTAGAAACCACTGAGTTTGTTTATTGCTGTGATTTATACATAGATCTTGATCCAAGCTACAAGGCTTTTGTTTTTAAAATAACTTCTCTACCAATTTATTTGTACTCTTATGTACTTACAAATACTTTTGTTAAAGACCTCATTTCAATCTGTAAAAGTTTGATGATTTAAGCTTTATTGGCAGGTTTTTAAAAAGATATCTTTATTCTGTAGAAATTACTGACTTTAGGTCAATTTTACTGTGAACAGAGTAGGAATGAGAGGAGAGAGTTTTAGAATGACAGATATTTAAAATCCAGATTATTTGATTAGAACCATAAGCATGCTATGATATAATCTATTGCCTCCTTTTCTACTTTAAGAAAGGTTTTCGTGTTTAATGAAACATGAGATCTGAGTAGTCATCTGGGGAAAATATGTGGAAAGTATTTGCTAAGAAGTCTATCTTTGAGGCTAAGCCACCGGTCTTGGTTGCTTTCTGCTAAGAGCCATAAAAGTACATAGAAGTGCTTCTAGTTATTGATTGCTTTATGTTTGCAGCTAGATGCAGCCACATGGTTTTGAGAAAACATCTAGTGCGTTGTGATCAGTTATTCCTGAGAACTTAGTTGTTAAATGGTAATTCCATTTCTTAAATGTAGTCATCTTTAATGAGTAAGACTAAAGAGTCACTAGGTTTAAAATTTTATGGCTACTTTAAAGGTAGAATAGTTTCTGCAGTTCTCAATCTGATAATTATGAGGCTCTGGTTCTGGGTGGGTTTTCTCAGCTCATTCATATCTCAGAGACTTTCAAAATGTTGAATTTCAGTGAAAGCTGAGCGACAAATGAACCAAGTACGCACCTTTGTAGTCAGTCCATCACGAGGCCTCTTCCACGTTCGTCCAGTGCCTTTCAGTGTGCCATCAAAGGGAATCCTTCACGGTGTTGCCTTGATCTTCCAGGAAGTAGATTCTTTTGTGGGATATTGTCTCATTTGTTAAAGTATACTACACCTGGTATGCAAAGATAATGACAATAAATCACTGCCATATAACCTTGTGTTTCCAGAAGCAGAGCGCGTTTGTATTGACTTAACCACTAAATGGGTGGCTTGCCCCCTTTCTCGTATAAACGTTGCGGGGTTACAGGTTGGGTGGTCTGGCTTAAGGATACCCATGCTTGAAACATTCGAGTCAGCTGAACACATGTTAGCTGAGTTAAAATCCATTTTTGCAGGGAAGGGTGTGGTGTAAAGAGAGGTGTTTGTAACAGAAGCTTTGAAGGCAAAATATAACGTCCTGTCTTCCAGATGGTAGATACCTTATTTTAAAAGTTCATTCAGCTATCTTTTTGATTGTGCCCATGTGGACAAGGGAAGTTTTACCTTTTCCCAAGGTTCTCCTTCGTGTCTGTGGAGGTTGCAGAACGTACGGTGAACGTGCCTGTTCCTGGTTTGGTGGGGCCTGGTCAGTGCCTGTCACGCGTCATCTGTTATGCGAAATTAGATCAGTTCAGGTCATTTTTGAGTCTTTTGGAAGAAGCTATTTTATCTAGAGTAGGGCAGAATTCTTTTTGTTCATAGTTTTTATAGTTTAATTTTATCATTAAGTCACTCACTGGCATTTTATTTAATGACAGCAAATTGGGGAAATGGTCAATTTAGATCACTGAGGTAAATGAGTAAATGAAAGCGTTTCCCTGGAAAGTCAGTTAACAGCTCTTGTAGATGGGGCTTGGCAAAGACTGGCACATAATAGAATGAAGAAATACATTCTTATTCCTTCTCTTCCCCCCATTTTCATTAAATTCGTTGGGGTGACACTGGTTAAACAGAAGTATACAGGTGTCAGGTGCGCAGTTTTACAACACGCCGTCTATGCACTGCCTTGTTCCTGTTCACCCCAAGTCGAGTCTCGTGTAGCTTTTTCTTCTGAAGGCAGAACCCATCTTCTTGCAGTTGGCTGTCTGTAAGTAATCGCCTAAATCTTCCTTTGTATGATTATAGAAAATGGGCTATGAGAATCTATTGTGTAAGCCTTTCCACCCCCCGAACCCCCGTTTTTTCCTGACAGCTAGGTGATTTCTCTAAAGACGTATCAGTAAGGATGTAAAAAGTTAGTGGCCTTATTCATAGCATCCTCAGGCCCAGCCCTGTCCCTAGCACCTGGCCCAGTGTTATCAGGTTGTTTACCTTGTATCACTGTGGATTGGGGTTTTTGTTTTTTTTTGACCTAATCCAAACTTGCCTTATTTAAGCAGTAAAACTTTTTTATTTTAGCCATTTCTTTGATGGAATTATTTAATGTGTATGTCAGAGAACATACCGGATATGTTATTTTTTTGTGTGTACCTGGCATTCTTCCTCGACTCCAGGGGTGACTTAGACAGGTAGGACTGCTTGCCCTCACTGAATAGTTGCAGACTGCTGTGGGTCTGGATGTTGAGCTTTTTCACCCCTCCGGCCCCCCATCTTCTCCCTTTCTGACAGTGACCACTTCCTGTGTGTCGTTAGTGTACCTCCTGTTAGTTGGTTCTTCTTCCCTTTCTGATTCATTTTTTCCAGCGGCTTGTGCAAGGAAACCAGATAACCAAACTTATTAATACTTTCTTTGAATACAAGGGCAAACTGGGACAGGACGCAGGAGACTTTCCTGTAATGTATTGAAAGGGACTGTAGTGCTTTGGCATTTGACTGCTTAGAGTGCTTCCTGAATCTTGCTCGGTTTCAGGTAGTTGCGGTAGAGAGAAGTGAGTCATATTCATATTTTCCCCCTTTGCAAGATCTTGAAAAGTTTCATTGCTTCCATTTGCCTGCTGCTCACATAAAAATTGGGGTTGCAAGGATTATTAAATTAGATATCGATAGCCAGAGGCAATACCCTTGTCTAGAGGACACCAGCAAAAAGACAAAACAACCATAAAAACAAATCTTGGGGAATGAATCATTTTTTTTTCATCCTCACCTGATGATATGTTTATTGATTTTAGAGAGGGAGGAAGAGGGAGAGAGAAACATCAATGTGAGCTGAAACATCAATTGGTTGCCTCACGTATGTGCCTCAACTAGGGATCAAACCCGCAACCTAGGTTTGTGCCCTGAGCAGGGGTCAAACCCGCAAACTTTTGGTGTATGGAACGATGCTCCAACCAACTGAGCCACCCAGCCAGGGCAAGAGGATCACTTCTGGGTGTCCCCTTTTGAGCCCTATGTTCTGGCCTTTCTCCTCTACAGATATTTTTGACCTATAGGTGCCTTTATGAGAATTGAGGGTTTGATATCCTGCCCCACGGAGTAGCTGAAGTAATTGCTGATGTTTTCAGGGATTTTAACATCAGACTTGAGCGAAAGAATGAACCTTTTTTTTTTTTTTAACTAGGAAGGATTGAGGAGAAAACTCTGGTGAAGACAATCATTTCTCTCTATCAGTGTGTGCATAGTTTTCCATTTATTTAAGATGCTTTCTCAGTAGGTCTCAGAGCCAGTGCTCTTGTTCAACCTGAAACTGGTGGCTTGGGTCTGGGACCAGACATGTGTACTGTCTAGTTTGTGCTCTGCCACTGATTGGATGTGTGACCTTGGGCAAGTCGTTGTAAACGCCTGCTTTCTCTGGGCCTCAGTTGCCTCATCTGTAAAATGAGGGAGTTGGACTGGGTGGGCTTCTCCAGCTCTGAAGTTTAAGTGACCTTGCCTACCTTGCAGCAGTTTTTGATTTCTTCCTTACCTTTGCTCTGCTGTTTGAGGGGGCTTTTTTACTTATTTCCACATTATTCGAATGAGACTAGGCTTGAGATTTTATTACTCTTCTCCTATGGACAAGAAGTTACATAATATGTTCTTAAGACTTAAATTCAACCAAAGGCCTAGCACCACCTTGGGGGCTGCAATAAATACTTTTAGAAAACGAGAGGGGGAAAAGCCTTCATTTTATTTTCCCATCATCTCTATTGAAGGTTTATTAAGACTTTTTTGAGTCACGACCTTCTGACTTTTGGGTTGGCACGTGTGACACCGTCCCCTTAAGTGCTGTGTGCTGATGATTTTTTTTTGTTCAACTGAAATGGATTGAAAACTTACTGTAAATGCCTGATGATATTAGAGGACATTACTTTGGGTCTTTGGTTTCTTAACTCTTTGCTCAACACAGGGAAATTCCTTTGAGCTGTATTAATGAAAATGGTTTATACAACTCAAGAATATACATAGTGGATGATCATTCACTTTATTGTTGGCTCTTTTTAGTCCATTTGATTAGAAGACTTTTGGCTGGAGCATTTTTTCAGAGTTCTCTTCCAGCCTATCTTTGGATGCACTTGGCTTTTATAAGGACCTTGAGAGCCTTCACTGGGGTTGGGTCGAGGGTGGGGTTTTGGGGAGTCCTGGTAGAGGCCAGCTCTGGTAGCTGGAGAGGAAGGGCTGTAACCAGCTGCTGTTGCTATGGCTGCTTGTCATTGATAGAAGGACTCATGGGCTTGGATTGGCCAAAAGGCTAAACATGGAGTTGGCGAACTTCCTCTGGGTCCTAGGTTCTGGCCAATGCTTTGGGACATGATTTACAGGAAACGTGTGAATGCCCG